CAGTAAATCAAGCTCATAAACAACCAGGAGAAGAACAATTGTCAGATAAAATACGATTTGAGTCTAGAATGGAGTGATGCACTTTACAACAAGTCCCTCTGGAGTTGTTTTGCATTGTCATAAACAGCAAGCCCAAATCTTGCCAAACGGCTTCTAGTAGATTTCTTATATTGCAACTTGATCTCTTGCATGACTTAGTATCTTGCACAACTTCAAGAAAAAATGCAAACCTTTCTTAGTAACAGCTTTTTATCACCTACCCAAATCCCCAGAACTTTCTGTCTAAAAGGACCTCAGATCACTGTAACGTTCCTCTGAAAACTGAAATCCAGCACTTCTGGATAAGCATTCAGGCACTGAAGTCCTTTTGCACAGCAACCTGTAGCACTGTGTTTCCAAATGTTGGAGCTGGAATCCACCTTCTTTTTTTCAGGGTGATAAATAGGTTTCTCTTCAGACATCCTAGAGGAGAGTTTTCATTCTAGGCAGTCTAGCCGTGAGGAAATGTGACACAGCATCATGCTATCTAGATACTCATCTTCTTGTACTAGCAGTAATGCAACTAAGCGAACTAGTGAAAAATGACCTGACACATCTATTGATGCCTGCTGTCCCCCGCTGTAGCTTTGGGGATAGTAACTTCCCAGGAATCTTGTTCTCACTGTTGAGTAGGACAGGCTGAAAAATAATGTCCTCAAGAAAACCACTGGGATGGCAGGACAGGCAGTCCAGAACTCTAGAACTATCCAAACTGATTCATCATGTCTTGTTGCTTCAGCCACTTTTAGATTTAGACTTTCAAGCCTTTATGTGTGCATGATGTCCTTGAATTGAAGTGGCACAATATCTTCTTTGTGTTATACAAGCCTTGCCCTTGCCGTGGTTAAGCATTTAGACAAACATTTTAAGAAAAGAGGTTAAAAATAAAGAAAGTGCCAATGTTTTCTTACTGTGCAGAATTGTTTCTTTGTGAGAATAGATTCTTTAAAAGACATTCTTTGTAGAACAAAGGTTACTGTGAATACAAATAGCCACTCCAGTGAGATAAAGGGGTGGTTCTGGAATGACATACTAAAAAAAAAAAAAAACCAAAAAAGAAAAAAGATAAAGAGAAGGCAGCTGACACAAATAGTTTAGGGGTTTTTTTTCATTTTGTTTGAGTTTTCTTCTTTGGGTTTTTTTTTTTAATGCTAAAAGAAGGAAGGAAGAATCACTTCTCTGCACATAAAAATGAAAAAAAAATTAATAAATGTCCTTCTCTCACTTTCTTTTCATTTACCAATGTTTTATACCCAATAACTTTTTTGTTTTAAGTTTCCTCTATTGTCAATGAAAGAAGAAACAAATGCACTTGCTTTAGTTCAGAATGCAATGTTGGAAGAAGCTATAAAATTAATTTTAGAACTAGATGACTCTATGTATGCAGCAGGCTGAATGAACTACACTAAGATCAAGATGATGATGAATGGTACAATGGACCATATGGATTCATATTGCTAAATTTTGATTCAGTATGGTATACAATACTGGGTTTGCTACTGTTATCACTGAGGGGACTCAAGTGCCCAAATTATAACAATACAAATAAACTGAAGTTGTTTAGGATGGAATACTGTAGAAATCTCAGACATCAAAACTTTTGATAGAAATGTCCCTTTTTGTGAAAGAAAACCAAACATGCTTTCCTATTTGTGGTGTTATAAAAAGACTGGCATAACTCTGCCCTAAGCACGCATATGTTAAACCTAGCTGAGCTGATAAGTTTGACAGTTCAAAACATCATTGTTCTTCTTCTGGTGTGCAGGTTCTGGGTATTTCTGGCTCTACCTTCCTGTTGTTAATTCTAATGACTTCCCTCCATAAGAGTGGACACGGTCAAGGCAAAATGATTAGATATTCACGAAACTCTGATTGCTAGCAGTGCTTTGTCTGCAGCGACCCACTGTCTAAGCTCCAAACAGTCTGCTAATGGTGTTGAATTTTCTAATCCAAATCCACACAATTAGCCAAGCAAAAATTAAGGCTGCCTTTTACAGGTTCTATTGTGTCATTTTTCTTCTAGGGAAAGTATTAAATCTCCTCTCAAGAAAGATGTCATAGTAAAAATTTCTATGCTAGAATGACACTCCTTACTTTGGTCTTTACGTCTGGAGTCATTCAATCTCACACAGCATTTTGTCTCAGGAGAAGCCAAAGAGCTCTTCTCTATGTGAACCTGAATCCACACTTTTGTGACAGCATGCAAGGACTTTAAACTATCAAATAGCTGAAATTCTTTCTTTTCTTAATAAGGTGCCTGTATGCAAAGGACTAGATCAAAATTATCCTCATCATCAGACTCCCAGTTTCTTTCCCTGTTAGTCCCTCCGTCTTTACCTCTGTAAAGCTAACTGCTGGCTGGCACTTTCCAGTCATGGTTTAGCTACAGCTTTTGGAAATTCCCTTTCCAAAGATGAATAACTAAACATGTAAACCCTTGTTAGCTACTCACAACTTTATTAGACAATGTCAAGAAATCAAGTAAAGCATTCATCCAAATCATGTTACCAGTCAATAATTCAGGCAGCTTCTGAGTCACCTCTTGCTGTCCACCCTGGATAGCAGACTATTTGTAGAAGGCTGAAAAAATTGCTTTTCTTTACTCATATTGCATGCTCCCTTGTTCTTTCTTTCATGCTAGCCAACTAACAGGTGTCAACTTAATACAGCATGCAGTACCATACTGTGAACCATGTACCCTTAAAAGATAATTCCACAAAACACACAATTAATATGGTATGGTGTATTTGGTAGAGAGTTTATATAGTATTATTTATTTGTTTGTTGAAAAGAAAGGTAAGGCTTAGAGAATACTACCAAAACATAACTTTACTTGACCTCATAATAAGACATTGTTACAAGCATGGAAGGAAATATTGCCATGCAAGACTGCAGAGTGCACTAAAGAAACACAATGCTTCTAGCCAAGGGCAGAATCGAAGAATTTTTATCATTACAGATCATAGCAGGTGACAGACACCTCCTAGAAACAGCTTGCATCATTCAAATAACTAATTTATGAGGGCTTAAAATAAGATACTGTGTTATATAATCAGCTATTAATGTGTCATTTCTCATATGTAAGAGGTTTTTTCCTTAAAAAAACCCACAATAGTTGCATATACTTGATGTTATAACGGGACTTGGCTTTACCTGAATCATCTACTCTCAGCTTTTTACTGGGATTGTCACCACTGTCATCATCGGACATTTCCATTTCCTCTTCCCGGCGGATTCCCATGAGCTGTTCACTGTGAGCATTTCGGAGCTCCTAAAACCCAAAATGACCTTTTGTCAGTATTAACTTCCATAAAGTCATTATGTATTATTTAGTATCTGGTTTTAATGCTGCTCTGATTTTAATTATACATCATTTATCATTGTAATCATATTTATTTGTATATGAATATTTATAACAACAGTAGCACAGGGAATTCTTCCTGTGAAAGAGCAGAGTTTATCAAAGGCAACATTCAGGGAAAACGAGAGAAAGTGAGTCTCCATGTTGAGTGATCTTTAGTTCTGCTAAACATAGGAGAATGCTTTAACAGCTGGGATAGTGCTTAAAACTGTGTATAATGCAGACTGATAAAAAAGATTGTCAGCTAACATAAGGTATAGATAATTCTTGCTTCTCTCTGCCACTTGGGGTAGGATTCATTCAGCAAGGTGTAGGTGTCTCCATTAAACAAGTCATATTTCACTACACCCTGGTCCTCTCTGCTGATAGTAAATGTAGCTGAAAGCAGCCAGGGCAGAGTACTCTGTATTGCAAGTGCCTAATGCTAGCCAAATGAATCTCACCCTCTGTCCCTATGCCCAGATCTCCCTGGATTTAAAAGACAAAGCCCCATAATGCTGTCCTGAAAATCTCTGCATCTTGATCCAAAATGAGTGCCAGTGCTGACAGCCTCGTCTCTGGGTGACAGCGTCAAGGGCGGGCAGGCAGGCAGGGAGCCCCTGCACATGTCACTAGGTAAATGATCAGCAGGCATGCCGGCTTTGTGGGAGTCTAGACGGTCTTTGTTCTGGGTAGAAAAGCCGGCACGGGTGTAGTGGCTGGCTTTTTAATGGCAGCGCTGAGAAGATTGAGAGGACTCTATTTTGTCCTAATAATCCTGTCAGGTGTAACATGGGGATGCAGCACTGTGATTAGTGTAGGCCTTGTCCGTCTGCAGACAGCTAATTTTTCTGCCAACAAAGAGCTTAATTCCCAAAGAGGTGGTTTGAAATCTCTGAAACAAGGAAGATTCGCCTGGAAGGAGGAGACAGCATTGAGGACTCCGACCGCTGTTCCCTGCAATTAACAATAAGCTGTCAGAGAGGGACTGCATAAAAAAAGGGAAGGCGTTTCCCTTGAGCTGTACCCTTGGTTTGTCATCAGATCTCAAACATTCTGATAAATGTATATGTGTCCATTAATCCCAGCAAAGGCAAGGCAGCTAATTAGTGGGCGTTTTACATGAGAATAATTTCAAATTAAAAAAAGAAGTGATTAAAAAGGGAAAGGGTCGACCAGTGTCTCATGCAACCAGAGGCACCTCTGGAAGAAATGAGTACAGCATTTCTTAATTCTTTATTGGAAAAGGCCACCTGCACTTTTTCCTGGGGAAGTATACTGCATACGTGAGCAGACGTCCGCTTACATTTACCCCCTCTTCAGGGGATAAATGTCCTTGATGCACCAATGTCTACATTAACAGCAAAGTCAATAATCTTCCACACAGAATTGCTGTGTGTGTGAATGTCGCTTTGGCTTTGGGTTTCTTAAATTCAGAAAAAAAGGGGAAGGTGATCAGGTAATTAAACAAATTAGCAGATACCGTCATGGTTAGTAAATATGATTTAAATCGAAGATGCCATTTGGTACATTTCCATCTTATTTCAATCTGAAAACCAGACATTTCTAAAATATTTTGGTTTAGTGAGAGCCTTCACATGTTTTTGAATTGTTTTAGTTGTTCTCTTCTTAGAAAAACCAAAGGCAATGATATTTTTAAAAAATGAATAGTGAATTAACATTTCTGGAAAATCCAACTAACATGTTAATAAACATTTCAGTTTATTAAAGATTTAAAAGCCAGAAAATTAATGACACACCACATCCCTTTACAGAAAGTTAGTTTAAGAGGGATGGTCTTAATAGAATTGAAATAATCTACTAGTAAATAATATTTTCATGCTTCTCTAGAAGACAAGACAAACATCAATCCCCAACTTCCCAGCATTCAATTGAACAAAGGCTTTATCCACTACTTACATGAAATATTTGTGAGCAAAATGCAAAATACAGTTTGTACCAATAAATTATGCTAACATTTTATTTTAAGTGTCCCATTATTGTGAACTCATTTGGTATTCACCATAATAACACTGATAATAAAGAATTCATTTGGTATTCATGTGGATGTTACAGTTAGTGCCATTGGTATTCAACTGTAATTTAGCATTAGTTAATGGGCACTTAAAATGTTATCCAAATGATTTACAGTGCAGCACTTTAGTGTTTCTCAAACTAAGTGTACAACACTTATTTTACAAGTGTACTACAAAATAATTAAATAAGTGCACCTTACCTTCTAAAGTTTTTATTCTGAGACAGAGAAAATAATTTTGAGGACTGTGACATAATAATTAACATACTGTATTACATTAAAATAAACCAAGTGTATGTAAGTTGCTCATATTAAAAAAAAAAAAAGGAAGAAGAAAGAAAGAAAACAAAGACAGTGGTACTTACTTTGTAAAATACAGGCTCATAGCGTATATACTGAATTAAAAACGAAAGCTGGATGACCAAAACACAGGATGAGGTCTAGTGCTTCCTTTGCTGCCACTCGCAGCAAGGGGAGTTAGAATCCCATTTCCTCTGCTCATGCTTATGACAGTCACACATGCATGGTCCCACATTGCTAACTCTGTGCATGATTACATTAATACTGTTTTCTTTGAAAGCATGATACTTAAAATCAATACAAGTGATGTACCTACTTTTTAAAAGTTCAGCATAAAACAAATTGAGAGGAGTACGTCATACTTCTGGACTTGTTATGCTTAAGTCATTATTTAGGAAATAAATTGTCTATTTTATTTTCAGGCAAAGTCATCTTACAATGACCATAAAATTGCACAACGAGAAAAAAACCCATCTGTGCTACAGAATATTTCTTTTAAAAACAGATCATGATAACTCCTAAAATGATATTTTTCAGAAATAATTCTTAATTCTATCCTTAGTTGAAAATATTGTTCCTAATTTTACTACTGCAGTTCATTACTTGAGGTAGTAAACATAATTCTCCAATGATTTCCCAAATTTTGCAGGAAAAATAAAAGCACATTGCTCTCTGTCTTAGTGCTATTTAATGACTATTATCATAATGAGAGCAATGGGAGAAATTCATATTGTAGATAAGATTGTATAATGGCCAGTTGATTAACAGCTAAAATGATAGCCATAAATATTGCTGAAAACACTATGTCCAGCTACAACCACACTCGTTCTGTGTCAATCCAGCTGTGAGATGATGGGTAGAAAGTAATAATAAAATCACCAACCTCAGAATGCTTTCGCCAAATGTCTATGTTCTTTCGCTGGGCTTTCGAGAAATGGTCCCAAGCTTTTTGTCTGGTAGAAGCGTTGAAAACGGCGACAATCTGCTCAACTTTGGTGAACAAGGAAGTCAAACAAGACAAGCAATTTATGTTGTGATCACTATAGAGAAGCAAAGCAAAGACACTAGGAGTCTATGGATGATGTCATTACTGAAACAACATCATCAATATCCATCCAATGATGTGTCTTTTGTACTTACATTTTATCAATGTTGGAGATGTCTCCCTTCAAGTCTGTCTCCATAACTTTAGTCTACACCACTTCTAACTATGTACCACAAACCACACATGCAGCTGCTTCCCCGTGATGTTGGCTACAGCTCTCTGCACAGCCACATGCTTTTGCATGTGTGCCTATAGGTGTGTGGGTACAGATATGACACTTGAGGCATAAGCCTGACACATGTTCCCCTGAGGCAGCTGTGTAAAGATGTGCAGGCTGTACAAACCAAAGCATGAAAGACAAGCAGGCTCTGCTTCGAATGGTGACTAGCTGATAGTAGGAATCTGTCAGCAGACAGGAAGGGCTAACACACATTAATGCTGCATCCTGTAACTGCAGCTGCTGCTTCTCTTTTATGTAATATAAATGGGCTCACCTGTGGTAGATCATTCTGTCCTGTGTCCACGGCCTATGTATTTTTATGTACACGAACAGTCTCAATTTTTGCATATAAGATGAAGAAGAGATGTGAAATGGGCTTCCCTCATTCAGCTCTAATAGATTTGTTCTGAAGCCAGAAATTGATATTTAGGTCAATCATCTAGAACAATTCAGATCCTTAAGCTTTTAGCTACTTGTTTATCGTAGTTGAGAACCTTGTTTCCCAACCATCTTTCTGTTTGAATCAGCTACAAGCAATGTTGTGCTTCCGCAACAGTGGCCTGCCTCAAAATGATTTAACCAAGGTAGAAGTTGCCTTGGTCACAACACAGTTAACTGAAGGACCACCAAGAAAACCAGATTTTCTAGAAATGACTTGGGCTGTCCTCCTGAGTAAGCAACTGTGCTGATCTATGAAGTCAAACTGAGAAATGCTTCAACTCTTTGACAAGATTCTTGGCCATTTATCTCTTTAGATTCTTGGGCTGAAACCACGTCCACTGTTATGTAAAGCTGCAACTTGCAGCACCTCCCTCCTCTCATTGAGAAATGGTGTCAGGAGTGCTGCAACACTCCCTGATCTGGTCTCTCATCATCAAGTTGATCAACAGCTGTTCTTCTCCCCTCAAGTCACAGATGTAGAGGATCTTACATATAACAACCTATCTTTCCTAAAATGGTAAGCTCGCCTAGTAAGTCAGTTATGTATCTTTCATCTCTGGTCCTGAAAATTTACCTCACTTACTTGAATCGGAGCACATTTCTACTCTGTTTTTTACCCCTTTTCAGGCTGCTTTCAGATTCAGTAAGATTACAACATTTTGAGACACATATGGAAGCTTTTCACTGCAGTCATTAGGGCTGGTTAATTAACTTCTAAAGCCATAGAAAATAAATGTCATCTTTTAAAATTAATAATTATATGTAGTTTATACTAAAGAAGGTTCCTCAAAACTACTGAGATCATCAGATTCATTTGTGATCCATTCATATTTTAATAGCAGATGTGATAATTTCAGTCATACCAGAAATATATCAGAACTTGCTTGGAGTGAAGGTTGGTTGTATCAAGGAAGTTATGCTGTGTATATTTATTCAATTAATTTGAAAAGAATGAAAATGCTAAAGCACTTTATTATTATGTGTATAGAAACTGAGGCTAGAATTTAATTACTATCATTGTGTTGATGACCTAGGTGCTCAGAAAAACTTGCTTAATTAACAATCTGGTTTTAGTTTGCAAGTGGAAATTCAAGTAGAAAAGACTCATAAGGATATGAGGAAGATCTGGTTCGCTATTTTCCACTAATAAGTATTAATAAGATCATCTGAAATTTGAAAAACATTTGAACTTCCAAGTGTTTCATTTCCATTCTGTGAACAGGTGCTAAGATTTATCAAAAGTCATTACGTGATCATTTCAGAAACTCTTCTCAGTGGAAACACAAGCTAGGAAGATGTCGAAGAGTTTTCTTGCATAACTGCAGTAGACAAAGCGAGCAGAAGATAGATCTCCTTCACTTAACTAACTTTTAGAAATTAAAAAAAACAGCTAAAGGAGGTAGGATACTGCGAGTACTAGATGATAAAAGTCAAGACATTTAAATGAACCTTATGCAAAGCAGCTAGGGATAATAAGAAAAGGGAAATGCAGAAGAGAATATTAATTGAGTTTCTATCAAAGACCTCCCACTACTCTTTTCAGAGAAAGTATCAATGCACATACAACAATTTCAGTACACAAAGCAATCTAGGCTATGAAGTGTTGCAAATATCCACAGGTAACATCCAACATGAAAGGTCTCTAAGCATTACATTAGAGCTAAAAAGCAGCCATGGCCATGGTTTGACAGTACGGGAAAGTGGCTTTGCATCTTTTTGTGCTGCATCAAACCCCTGCATTCATGTGTCATGAGATGGAAATATAAACCCGTTCTGCTAGTTCACATTTCTTCGTAAGCTAATTCATGTTGCATCAAGATTCATTTGTTCTCCCACAGACACCCTGGAAGCCTAAAGCTGGCATAACTCCTGTGCTCTGCATAATTGGAAGGCAAAACATAATGTACCCACCCCTGATCAGGATCAAATTTGTGTGGGTAAGTGATCCAGCAGCACACAGCCCATAAGGTTGGTAGACTTATCCCTAAGGGGAAGCTGTAAGAGTTTATATTAGCTCAGAAACTCTCCAGTTAACTCATTTTTTCCTCCATGTCTGGGTAAGATTTGTCCAAAGAGAAGCCCCAGATTTTGGGCTGATACCTGCAGAATCTGAGTGAAATGGTTGTTCCTGGTCTTGCTGCTGACCGTGGTTTTCAGGCTATTTCCTGACCCCCAGAAAGACATTTCTAAAATGACATAACCGATTATATCTATCTCTGTAAGGCACCTTGAACTCTAGAACGCACTGTACTATCAACTGTGACTGGTAAGTAGAATTATTAAGGAACATGAAATATTCATTGTCAAACATCTGCTGGTAAGTTCTATGCTATATCAAATTTTCATTGACCATATGCAAAGCTGTTTCCTTACTAAGTTAGAGTTTAAAAAAGTGCATTGTTCTGGAAGAGTCTGTACCACGTCATTGCTTTTCCTATCAATATAACTTACAGGATGTAAATAACTGCAACTTTCCTAATGACTTATTCTGCAGCTGGTAATTTATGTGGCATGTTTCAGAGAAAGGATTACTATCTAATTGTTTTTCTGCTGAGTGATAAATAAATAAAAAGACCCAAACAACTAAGCCTAGGGTGACATGCAAAATATTTACCAAATGTGGTACAAGTACAATACACTTTATTAGGGGTGCCAGCTCATAGTAAAGCATATTAAAACAAAGTTTAAACGTCAGTTTCTGCTCCTATAAAACATGTTACCAGAGTAGGGTATTGTTATTAAGTATAAATGTAAAAACAACTAGAAAAAGTAGGAAAAACAACAACAAAAATCCCTTAAATGATGCCTGCAGGAGTTGCATACAAGATTGGATTAAAGGGAAAACTAGAATATCTCCAGGGCAAGAGAATATTTGATACAGGATATTTGAAAATAATAATACCAGGGAAGAACAGAAATAAATGAGAACTGAATTACAGCCTCATCTGTAGATTAAGAGGTAGAGAGAACACTTTTACCCTCCATTACATTTATCAAGTAGGCTATTTTAAATACATGATTGAGTGAAGGCTGAAATTTCTCCTTGGGTTCAGGAGACAAGAAGTACTCATTTTTTCCTTTGCTTATTACATTATCAGCTGCCATCCATACATGATTATTTTTAATTTCTTGTAATAATAAAGAACACCAGCAATCAAGTATTTTATAATGCCTTACAATACAAAAGACACTAAATAGAAACTGAAAGACAATGTGTTGAAATAAAACCGAAAGTCTTCTTTGGCAGATAAAATAACCAGATTTCATGGAGAATTTCACTCCAAATTCCACCAATTAGGGATACAGGATGAAAAGGACTTTGCACTAAATTACTGTAAGTGCAAAAGTAGAATATATGGCAATTTAGCTCGGAAAAATTCTGTGAGAGTGTGACAGTTGACATGCAGGGTAAAAGAAAAATTCCACCCATAAAATTACAGTGTAAAGGAAACTGTTACAGTAAATGTATAACATGCTTTTCAAATATAGATTCACAGCACAGGCAGGATATAGAGTTGGCGTGGTTTGGGTCAGAAGCCTTGCTGCTGAATTCTGACTAAGCTGGAGTCTGCCAATTGATTTGGCTCCAAGCCCAGCAAACCAAGGAATTACAGTAGTCAAGGCTAGATGCTGTAAGTGCATGAATTAGAGTCTCCAGGTCAGTTTTGGGTAGGAAAAAGAATATTTTTGGCAACAGTCCTGAAAGACATTTGGTGACACACTGAACAGAACCTAGCATTAAGTCCAAGGCTAAAATTGCACATAGGCAAATGACGTGACATCAGTAAGAGAAACGGTAGACAGACTGCACAGTAATGAAAGAAAAATATTTTTTTTTTAATTAATCTGGGCCAAACTCTCAGTCTTTTGGTTATGATACTGTTTATTTTCAGAAAAGAATTTGTCTTTCACACATTAACAGCTGAAAACCTGCAGCCCCTCCCTGTTACCCAATTCACGAAACACAGAGGGAGAAACAGATGCGATTGTCATTGACTGGCAGAGTAGGAAAACAAAAGAGTTGGAAATGTCACCCTGGACAAGACTGCAGATATTGCAAGGGATGGGTCCTAAAGTAAAGCATACTTCTGGTCATCAGCTGTGTACATAAGCAAATACCATCATAGATTTGTTCAGTGAAGACAGATTTTTGACAGCTACGCAAAATGACTCATCTGTCACAAATAAATGGCATCCTTGTTTTGTTTGGTTTTGTAGGAGTTTTGTGGTTTTTGTTTGTTTGTTTGTTAGTTAATTTGTTTTAATAGAAATAAAAAACAACAC